GCCTGCTTCTCCCTCTGACCCTCCCCCCTCTCATGTGCTCTCTGTCTCTCTCATTCTCTCTGTCTCAAATAAAAAAAAAAAAAAAAAAAAATGTCTCCAGAAATGTGCCAAATGCCCCTGAGGGGCCAAATCACCCACTGAGAACCACTGCCTTAGAGATAGCCACAAGGATCTTCCCTCGCCTCCCTCAATGTCCCCTTCTCCAAGGGTCTTCCCTGACCCCTACTTAAAATCTCAACACCTCCCCCTGCAACCTTCTCTCTCCATATATTTTTTTTTAAATCACAGCCTGTTTTTCTAACAGACCAAATTGTTTACTAATATATTTTTTGTATCACCTTGTCTTCCCCAGTTGGTGCTCAGCACTCTGAGGTCTGGAATCTTCGGCAGTTTTATTCATTGATGTGAACTCAGCCCCTACAACAGTACCTGGCACATAGCTGTTGTCCACTAAATATTTGCTCAATGAATGAACAAAATGCACAAGGAAGCGCTTTGTGACACATAAAATTGTAACCAACGAAGGAATAGAGGAATTTTTATTTAAATTCCACGGGGGCCTGGATCTGACACTCTGAAGTTAGCCTTCCCTGCCTTCCCCATCCGCCTCCACAGCTAACTGGGGGGCAGACCACAGCAGCTTAAAACAGATTTTTTTTTCCCTCTTTCTTGCTGGGGCTTGAGTAGGAGTGAATGCGTCAGTGCTCGGCGAGAAAATTCTCTGCTCTGACTTGTATCTGCAGGTTGGTTATATAAAGCAGAGGAGCCTCCCGCCTGACACAGCCCCGCAAACCCACATTTGGGGACTGACGCAGTCGCCCTGCACCAGCTAGAAACCCCCAGCCCCCCACCCTCCACCCTGGGGGCCTCTCTGGCTTCAGGACTGCCCCCTCGTCCTGCAGGGGCTCCCAGGGCATCTCTCAGAGCCACAAATGACAGTGTGGGTGAGGACCTCCAAGGTGGGCCTGGCCGAATGCCAGGAGGAGGAGGCAAAACTCAAGCTCAGAAAGGTTGAAATAGTGTATCTTCCAGCAAAGTCAGTGACCAAGATTAGGGCAGAAACCTGATGTCCTAAAGCCTTAGGCTATAAACAAGAGTGTCCAGGGTACCCCCGGTCCGCTCACCACCCCCTCTTCATCTTAGCATAGGAACCCTTCCCCCTGCACCCACTGCCAGGCTTCCTATAAGTAATCCTCCTCCCACTTCCAAAATACCCTCGTAGGCTTTGGAGCCCCACGGCACCAAGAGGCAATAGTTATATTTCACGGTGCGGTACATGGGACCAAAGAAGGCAAGACCCCACTCAGGGTCATGGCTACGGCAAAGTGACCTCCATCTGACTCCCTGTCTTTCAGTGCTCACTATCTCCAAACACCTCTGGCCTCGGGGTTCAAGCCCACAAAGCAGGAGGCTAGCAGCCCTTGGCCCCTACTGCCCCCCACCCACCTGTTCCCTGGCCTGCTGGTTGGTTTCCCCCACATAGAGGGACTCGAAAGACAGTGTGTTCCATAGGGGTGTCCTGGAAGCTTGAGACCGTTTTCATCCTCCCAGACTTGCTGTGTGCCCCCAAGGCTCACTTGCTGTGAGCCTCTCTGAGCCTCAACGTGCCAGCCCGTCTAGCTCAAACAGTTCTCAGAGGCCATGTGGCCCACAGAGGTGATGAGCATGCAGCCAGGCTCTCTCCGGCCCTACTTGCTGGCTCTGCATCCTCGGGCCAGTTTCTAGACCTCCCTGGGCCTCCATCTTAATCATGTCAGTGGGATGAATACATCATGCCCTACCAGGTCCTGGGCTCCAGAGAGCCAGTATCTGGAGGTGAAAGCCTTTTCTGAGCTATGCTTGGAGGAGGAGGACGGTAGCATGGTCGAGATCCAGGCAGAGGGACTGGGGCTGCAGACCAGAACAAGAGCAACAAGCCCAATCCATGATCTGCAATGACCTTGATCTCTACTGGTCCTGGGCCCCCTACTCGAAATCGGGGCAGGAGAAAATCCTAACTGTGACTTGAGACTCAGGAGTCAGGGTTTCAGGTTACACATTAACCCCGGGAGGGGAGACGCAGCCCACTGTAAACCAGGGCCGCCCACCGCACCCCCACCCCGCCCCCGTGCCCAGCACGAACCTCCTCAGCCTTCTCTGTCTCCCTCCCCGGCAACACCCCCTTTGTGCCTGGCACCCTGTGCCACCCACACCACCTCTTTGCGCTGCCAAGCCGCAGCCGCCTGGCTCACTGGGCCAGGCGGGCAGTCCCTGGAGCCTGGAAACTTTCCAGCGGGAGGGGCAGCCCCAAATCTGGGGTCAGGGAGGAGCCCAGCCCCCTCCACCACACCCTCTGGGGGGAGCTGCTGTGGACCTTACCCAGGTGGGGCCTGGGGGCCCTGGTATCAGGCCTGAAGGGCACAAGTGGGGCCCGAGGCTCCCCTACCTAGCTCGTGCAGGAGCCCGCCCCACTCACCGGCCAGCAGTGTGGTCAGATGGCAGAGGGCAGCCAAGCGGAGCAGCCCCCAGAGGGGCGGAGGAGCCATGGCTGCGGGCGGCCGAGGGTCCAGGCGGGGGTCCAGGCGGGGCCGGGGCCGGTGCGTGAGCCAAGTGCTGTTCCCTCGCTGCCTGAGCTCTGTCGCTTTTTATAATGGGGCTTGCTGCCCCAGCCTCCGCCTCCAGCCGGCAGGCAGCGGGTGGGAGGGGAAAGGAAGGGAGCCAGCCAGTGTGCAGCGGCTGGATTCTTCAGGATGTTGCCAGGGAACGGAGCCAGCTCAGGCTCTGGGCTCCGGC